TGAAAATCTAAACCATCGGGCCTGACTTGTGATTTCGTGAAAGATAATACCTGACCCATGAATTTTTCCCTTTAACTAAACCAACACATCAAACGGCCCAAAAATTAAAGGAGCCCAACAACTAATATCAGCAACAAAACAAGGGGGAAAAAATCATAACTCAGGTGTATTGTTTATACCAATTCACAAGTCAGATTTATAGTTTGAAAATTTAAAATTCAAGTATACATTTAATTAATTAAATATATTTATTAATTAAATACAATAAAATAAGATTTATACAATTAATGGTCACATATACAAAATTATAGGTCAGAATTTATTTATTAGTCTCATATTATTAAATTAATTGATCACGGATTATTTAATTGTCACAAATCAAAAAATTTAAAGGTCATAATTTATTTGTCGGTCACAAATTTCCAAATTAGTCTGTCACGAATTATTTAATGGTCACAGACAAAAAATTTATAGATCACAATTTATTCTTCGGTCACAGATTTCCAAATTAAATGATCACAGATTCTTCCACGGTCACAAATAACCAAACAGTTGGTCACAAATTAATCAAATAATTGCCACTGCCACCTCCACCGCAATGCCACTGCCACCACAAAACAGCTACAACATAAACACCATCACTACCACCAACACAAAACAGCCATCACACAAACACCACCACCACCACCACCACCACCACACAGAAAATCATCCAAACCCACCCCCAACCGCCATATCCACCACCAAAAAACCGCCACCGCACAAACACCATTACCACTACCGCACAAAACACCATTCAAACCCACCAATCCCAATGTTGTTTCTATTTTGCCTCTTCATTACAACAGTACCACGACGGCGTCAACCTGACGGAGTGGGTGGATCTGCTTTTCCTCTTCATTATAGAAACTCGCCTAAGTCAGTGGATTTGCATCGCGGTGGATCTGCTCCACCTCTTCATTACAGCAGCACCGCCTCTTCATTACAGTAGCACCGACGACAGGTGCTCCAAGCGATGGTCTTGAAGGAGAAAATTTCGGATCGAGCTGCTGCACTTCTGCCTCGATCGTCGCCGTGAGTTCGGCGATGGATTGTTGATTTGGGTGGTGGTCTTCGACGGTGGGCGGTGGTCGAAAGTAGGCGTTGGTCTTTGGTAGAGAGAGAGAGAGAGAGAGAGAGAGTGTGTGTGTGTGTGTGTGTGTGTGTGTATGTGTGTGTGTGTGAAGATATGAAGAAAGATGGTCGACTGTGGGTAGAAAGAGAGGGTGGAGATATGAAGAGAAATTGAAGGATAATGATTTAGGGTTTGTAGATACCTAAATTTTGATTAAAAAAAACTTCTCACCTGATTTTTGTACTGAGATTTTCAAATACCTGGATCCATGTAATTTCCTAACAAAACAATAGAAATTAAACTAATCCAACAAGCCCACACACCATTTAACTAAGGGGGGAAAAATCATAAATCAGGTATTAACT